CCCAGGCACATGCTCTGTGGATGAACTCACTTTTGCTTTAGTCCACATGGCTGCCGAAGTCTGCAGCTCAGACAGCAAGGGAAAGAGGTGAGGAGAAGGCAGGGAGGGAGATCAGAGAAATCTGTGGAAGAGGATTGAATTACTGTCGGATCACAGAGTGTGGGAGACTCTGGGACAGATTGATGGGAGAGCCTACCCGGCTGGCAGGGACCTGAGAACTGTCACAGATGGCGGTGCTGAGCCAGCTGCCTTGCTTGTGCGTGCAGAGCACAAGCTAAATGGGAGCAAGACATCTTAACAGCTACCAAAACACCCAGCAGTATATCAGCCCACCTAACTGGAAAACAAAGCAGGCCTTTGGACTCCAAATCCCCCAGGCCAAAGCCATATCTACAATGTTATCCAGTGTCTTGCTTCACAGGGCATGTCTCTATCAGTCTTTCAACAAACACCTATTAAAAGCTTCTAAATGTCAGGGCTGGCTGTGCTAGGTGCTGGGGATGTGAAGGAAATATGCACAGTACTCCCCTCTAAGGGTCTCACCACCTAGTAAACAATTATAAAAAAGGGAAAAAATGCAGTAGGAGCTGGGGTAAAAGAGAGCACAAGTACTACAGGAAACAGGCACCAGCTTATGTTAAGTTGTTATGTAAAGCTAAAGAATTTGTATCTTCAAACATGCATGAACCACTCTTCAAATTCCACCCAACAGTTGTCTCTCATCCAATCCAGGCTCATACCTATGACCTCAGCATGGTAAAAATATCCCCCATGGCCCTTAAGGTCTAGTAATAATTTAATGTTTTGTTTTTCTCTGTATGTTCTCTGATGTGTTTTCATATCTCGGATGTCTTTCTTTTCGAGGGTGTTATTTACTCTGGTTGGTAGGATATGATATTAAAAGGTCAAGGCTTTAACTTTGTGGAACATTTAGCTTCATTTGGAAAGAGAATTAAGCCCCCACGATCAGAGGTCTACCCCTCAATCTAAGCCAGAGGCTTAGCAAATGTGGACCGTGTCCTTGCTTACTGGGGCCAGAGCAAGAGACAAAAAGAGGTTCGTTCCATTCAAACCCATCGTCATTACCAGATATTACGGCATTGACAGGACACAGCCATTACATGGTTTGGCAGCGTTACTGTGCTCATAAATAATGGTAAATATGAGCACGTGTGTGTGTGTGTGTGTGGGTGGGCATGTGCACATGTAACGTTTTGCAGTCTCCTTGAGGGCAGCGATAATGGTAATTATTGTGAACGGACAAGCATAACCCCAGATACTGACAAGGCACACTCCCTCATATCTCTCATGTCTGTGCTCAGCATCACCTCCTCAGAAAGCCCTTCCCTGATCACAACTAGAATGTAAAGTCACTGGGATTTCTGTCTATTTTGTTCACTGTCCACAAAAGTAAAGACCTGAACTTTTAAAATGTCATATTCCACTGAGTACATTAAACAACACAGTCAAGAAGAAAGATGTCCTATATATAGGATGAATAAACAGTAAGGTCCTACTGTATAGCACAGGGAACTATATTCAATATCCTATAACAAACCATAATGGAAAAGAACATGCAAAAGAATATATGTATGTAACTGCATCAATTTGCTGTACAGCAGAAACTACCACAGCATTGCAAATCAACTCTACTTCAATAAAATAAGTTTAAAAAAAAAAGAAAGATGACCAAGACGTGAAAACAGAGAATCTACACGGAAAAGAACACAATCATTAAATTGTTGCTAGACCTGAATGGCCTGGGGATAGTTTGACGCTGTTGAGGTCATGGATATGAAACTAATGGGACAAGAGAAAACCGTTGGACGGACATAAGGGAAGATGTGGCATCTGAAGAGTGGTTTATGTGGCTGAGGACAATCACGAAGTCTTTGGCTTCACATCACAACTTACATGAAATGGTGCTACCTTCTGGGTGCAGCTCCTAGAACAGTGCCTGCCACATAATAGCCACTCAGTAACTTCTTATTGAATGTCAAGCGCTCTTCAATGAAGTTTTTATTTGTTTCCTGTCATTTAATTTTGTAAAAAGGTAGTATGTTGACATAGTTCAACATTCATTTTAGTGTAAAAAGGTAACACAAGGCCTTGTTCTTACCCTATTCTCTGCCTGACTGGTTCCCACCCAGCAACCATGTCCTGTAACCATTTTTATTACTTTCCTTCCAGACTTCGTTTATGCAAATCAAATATAACTATATTTTTATTTTATTATGCAAAAGATAACATAGTATCTACTCTGATATTAACCTTGCTTTTTTTCATTCAATAATATAAGTTGATGAATGGGTAATGTGGTATATTTATACAATAGAATATTATTCTACCATAAAAAAGAAGGAAATTCTGCCATTTGTGATAACATGGATGGACCTTGAGGGCATCATGCTAAGTGAAATGAGTCAGACAGGAAAGACAAATACTGCATGATCTCATTTACATGGGAAATCTAAAAAAAAAAATCGTACTCATAGAAACAGAGAAGAGGTTGGTGGTTGCTAGAGGCTGGGGGCAGGAGGGAGAAACTGGGGTGAAGGCAGTCAAAAGGTACAAACTTCTAGTTCTAAGATAAGTAAGTTCTAGAGATAGAACATATAGCATGGTGACTATGGTTAACAATACTGTATTGTACATCGGAAAGTTGCTAAGAGAGTAGATCTTAAAAGTTCCCATCACAGGAAAAAATAATTGTAACTATGTCAGGTGATGGATGTTAACTAAACCTATTGTAGTGATCATTTTGCAATACATATGTACATCAAATAATTATGTTGTACATCTTAAACTAATACAATGTTATGTCAGTTGTTTCTCAATAAAATGGAAGGGAAAGATATAAGTTGGAGATTCTTCAAGTTCAATTTGGTGTCTTCAATTTTTTTTTTTTTTTTTTTTTACAGTTCCAGTCAATTCTACTGTTTAAATGTTCCACAGTTTATTAAACCAGCCCATGTGGATGGACACTTGTGTTGTTTCCAGTCTTTTGCTATTAAAAAACAAAAGCACTCTATACCATATAATAGTATAAATTCCCAGAGATAGGATTGCTAGGTCAAATAGTTTATGTCTTGGTAATTTTATATACATATTGCCAAATTGCCTTCCAAAGGGGTTATATAAATTTAAGTCCTCACCAGCAATGTAAAAAAAAAAAAAAAGTCTGTCTCCCCACCACCTTGCCAACAGAGTTTTATCAAACTTAGAATTTTGCTAATCTAGTAAGTAAAAAATAATACCTCAGTATGTTTTTTATTTGCATTTCTCTTGTGACACAGAGCACCTCTTTATTTCTATGAATGGATACTTCATACCTTTCTTATGTTTCTGTTAGGTTAATCGTCTTTGTATACTTGGCTTATAAGAAGCACATTACATATAGGGAGGTTAGCCCTTTCTCTGTAATGTGAGTTTCAAAATTTTTTTCCAGTGGTGTGTTGGTTAGTGTTTAGTAATGGTCTCTGGGGAAAATAAATCCTGGTTTATAGCATTTGCCAAGTTCCATGATGTAAATATTCCCACCACAGCCAATTTCAAGCTACCAACATATCACTAAATGTGGAGTTGGGGAGAAACGTGCAACACCAGGCCATTATGTAATATCTCCATGATACAGACACAACAGATGTAAACCACTCCAAGAGCATGGATGATAGCAAAGTGTAGTTAAACAATTAGAGTGATGAGTCTTTGAGCATATATTACCTTTGTTTCATTCTTTATTTAATTATAAGTTTATATAACTTAATTTTAAATAATGGCTGTGGTTGACAACCAGCTTGCAAAATTTCTAAAATTTAATAATCAGCTCCTGTGAGCCAGTGCAGGCCATCTCCAACACCCCACTGCCTTTTATTCTATTTGTTTTCTGCCTTTTTTTTTCAAATGATGTTTTTCATCATGCAAAGGTTTCATTCTGATATAGTTTTATTTATCAGTCATATTATTTATGAGTTCAGAATATTAAGTAACGGTTAGGAAGACCTTCCCCATTCCAAGATTATAAGAGTTTTACCATGTTTTCTTCTGACACTTTTATGGTTTCACTTTTATGTTTAAATCTTTAATCCATTTAGAGGATATGCTAGTGTATGGTGGGAGGTGCGGCTCCTACATGCAGTGTTTCCATCCAGTTATCTCACAGGAGGTGTTGAATGGTCCGTCTTTTCCCACTGGTTTGTAAAGCCGCCGTTATATGATGTGGCTTTCTCGATTTTAATGAACGTGGTATTTATCATTATTTGAATGATGTTTTAATTATGATTATAGTTCATAAACAGCTTCCCTGTGTCTGCTCATTTGATTCTTTAACCTATAGTGGTAGGTTTGGTAGATTATAATAGCTACCATATTTTCATGCCCAGCATACTTTCCCATCCTCTGTCTCTTGAATCCTTTAGGGAACTCCCCCTTCATGCAATGTGATCCTGGAGAGACGGTCAATTATGGTACACTGGCCAAATACTGTGTTATATATGCGACCTAGGCTGGCCAATCCAAAAATCCCAACCCATGGTAATAGGCTAGGGTTTGGACATCTGACCTGAGCAAGGCAATATAATCTTCCTTGGGAATGATATTTGAAAAAGATTTTCTGTTGGAATTGTTAAGCTGGGAGATACGTTCTTTAGATCTTCTTAACTGACACATAAATTAAAACTATCTGAGAAAAAGCCAAATAAAAAGAAGCAGAGCTAAGAAATGGAGAGCCAAAAAGTTTTAAAGGCATCATTTGGGTCTTTGGATCCAGCCTTGCTCCAAAGCCAATGCCCTTGGACAACCAGGAATAAAAGCCTACAAATTCCTTTTTTTATTTTTAACTTACGTTCATGTGTTCAATATGGCTTCTTATAATTTGCAGTCAAAAGAGTTCTAACCCTCTTCAATAGATATTACTGTTCCCACATTACAGAGGAAGAAACAGAGGTTGGTAGAGGTTAAATTCAATCAGTGTTAACGTGCTTCCCACTCTTTGCTCTTACCTTCTGGGACCCGTCCTTCCAGCACTGGCAGCTCCTCTCTTTGTGTATTGTATCCTGAAGATTTTCTGGTGATGACTGGGAAGAAAGGCCATATTAATGTATGGAGGCTGCTTACTATCTTCTAAAACAGTTAAGATTCTAAATTAGATCTGTTTTATTCCTCCTCATCAGACTTTCTTTTCCTGTAGCAAGGTGAAAATCTCCCTGACCTGACTTCTCAATATGATCAAAGTTTTGGCTTTATCCTTGGTATCTTTGGCTGGAAAGGTATAAAAGCTCATTATCCAATGATGTCACATTCAAATCAGCCTCAGAGTGTCTTTTCATATTGCGAGGAGAAATTTGATTTTCTAAAGTCCCTTTATAATTGGGAATTTCTTTATACTATCTGGAGTAGAGTATACCTCAAAAACATTCTGAGTTAGAACCAGGTCCTCTAAGAATTCTCCTTCCTATGGAACAGCTAATATTTAGAGCTTCACAATTAGAAATGTTATACAGACTTCTGTTAAAATGCAAACAGCCCCTGGACAGGTTTACACTCGAGTCTTTTGGCTATGTGCACTTTAATGTGAATTCATTTAGCAGATTGGAACATATTTTCACTGAGGTAGTAGGAGGCAAAGGAGGACAAGTAGGCAGAGAAGAAAAAGGAGAGGAGAGGCAGGGGATACTAATGATAGGAGAAAGAGTGAAGAAATGGAGAGGTGAAGACAATTACTAAATGCTTTCCTCCCAAGTCACTTCTGAGATAGAGCTGTGAACCACAGTCAGGGTTAGGACAAGCTGATATGACAGCTACCATTAGGAATGAATTGAATTAGATTCTCTGAGCTCTGAGGGGAGGATCTAATTCAGCACTAGAACCAGCCATATCATTATCTTCACATTTTCTTCTACTTGGTCATTTTTGGCATCGCTCAAGACCCTTCATGAGCTGGAATTAATATGCATCCAGAAATCAGACCCAACCATTTGTAGCATGTAACTGCAGCTGTCCCACACTGTCAGCAAGCACCAACTCCCTGAGCAATTTACTACCTGGACAGAAGTTCATTTCATAAGCTTATCTGTTCTCAACTGTCATCCAATAACCTAGTGGATTCCTCATCTATAAAATTTCAACTCTCCAAGCAAGTTCCTGTTCCAAGCCTCCTTACAGTGGCTCAGAGCGTCTTTGCTCCACCATTTTTTAGTAACTACACACACCTTCACTTAGGTTATATGCCAAGTGCTCTGATGCTCTTTGGTGAAAGTCCAAGTGAAGGCAAAACTAGGTTAAAGAAAAGACTTCAGCAAAATGGCAGCCTAGGAAGCTCCAAGTTTTCATTCCCCAACAGAAATGTTTTTTAGAAAGGCAGAAACTGTCTGAACCAATCTTACTGGAGCTCTGGAAAACACTCAAAGTTTTGAGCCACCAAACAAATACCCAATCAAGAAAAAGCCATCTTGGGGCTTCCCTGGTGGCACAGTGGTTAAGAATCCGCCTGCCAATGCAGGGGACACGGGTTCAAGCCCTGGTCTGGGAAGATCCCACATGCCGCGGAGCAACTAAGCCCATGCGCCACAACTACTGAGCCTGCGCTCTAGAGCCTGGGAGCTACAACTACTGAAGCCCGCGGGCCTAGAGCCCATGCTCTGCAATAAGAGAAGCCACCACAGTGAGAAGCCCGTGCACCGCAAGAAAAAGTAGCCCCTGATCGCCGCAACTAGAGAAAGCGCACATGCAGCAACGAAGACCCAATGCAGCCAAAGATAAAATAAATGTAAAAAAAGAAAAGAAAAGAAAAAGCCATCTTCAAAACAGCAGGAAAGTTCTGTGGCATTTTTAGTTACATTTACTCCACCCTTCCCCAGCATGGCAGTGGTTTTGGTCTTGAAGTGGTGGCAACCTGGTTTCCAGTATCATTCCTCAAACTAGAAGAAGCAGAGCAGAAATTATTTGCAAATTATTGTGTACATTTAAACTGTCCGGTGGATACCTGAAGGACTGACACAAGAGCCTGTCTCTGTTATGTCTAACTCAGAAATCAGGTGGTAAAAGAGGTGGACACTACTCATAAAACTTGCAAATGACAATAGCCCCACAGACTCCTGGAGCAAGAAATTATAGGTGGAAACATACAATAGACCTTCTAAGGTGCAGAGGACAATCTGGGGTAAGACTGGGAATCTAGGACATTTGAAAGCAGTCAAAAATATGGGGGGATTTAGGAAGCCATATGCACACCCAGGCAAGATGCGTGCTCAGAAAATTGCTGAGAAGACCTTAAGATTTTACCTGACTGATTGCTAGCCTCAGAACTAGCCTAGCTAAGTACTGAAGGAATGCCCTAGTACAGAGCCAATCTGCAAACACTGGAAGAGTTCCTGGCACTCAAGAAAATTTCTATCAAAACATCTGATTTTGAGCTGAATGTGAGCTAAAGGAACAGAGACTTCAGTGATCACATGTGACCAGCAATAGCCTCTGCAAAAATAGTTAGGAAATCACTCAAAACAAACAGACTATTACAGCCTTCAACAACAATAACAACAACAAAACCAGCAAACCCTGGGAAAGGGGAAGAATGTGATTTCCAGAGTCATCATATATATATATATTTGGCCATGCCCCTGACATATGGGATATTAGTTCCCCATCCAGGGACTGAACCTGCACCCCTGCAGTGGAAGCATGGAGTCTTAACCACTGGACCACCAGGGAGGTCCCCAGAGTTACCATATTATAGTAGTTAAATATCCAATTTTAAGCAAAAGAAGATTGCAAGGCATAGACAGAAATGGGCAAACATTCAAAGGAACAAAATCAATTCACAGAAACCATTCCTGAGGAAGCCCACACATCAGACTTACTAGATAAAACTTAAATATGCTCAAAGACCTAAAGGAAAACATGGATAAGGAACTAATGGAAACCAGGAAAAATCATTTATAGATAAAATGAGAGTATCAACAGAAATTATAAAAAGGAACCAAACAGAAATTGTGGAGCTGAAAATTACAATAATTGAAATGAAAATTTCACTGGAGGGATTCAACAGCAGATGTGAGCAAAGAGAAGAAAGAATCAGCAAGCTTGAAAATAAGACAATCAAAATCATAGAGTCTGAGGTGCAGAAACAAAAACAATGAAGAAAAGTGAACTAAGGGATCATGAAGTATACCAACATACCCATTATGAGAGTCCCAGAAGAGACAAGAGGGGGGTGGAGATTATTTGAAGAAATAATGGCAAAATATCTCAACTTTGATGAAATAAATAAACCGACAACTGTAAGAAGCCTGATGGACTCCAAATAGGATAAACTCAAAAAGACCCAACCAAGACATATAAACAAACTGTCCAAAGATAAAGAGAGAGTCTTAAAAGCAGCAAGAGAAAAGTAAATCATCATCACGTACTAGGGATTTTCAATAACAATATCAGCCAATTTTTCACAACAAACCCTGGAGGCCAGAAAGACATGAGATAAAATCTTTAAAGTACTGAAAGATAAACCTGTCAACCAAGAATTCTATAGCTGGCAAAACTTGCCTTCAAAGATAAATGAAGGGCTTCCCTGGTGGCGCAGTGGTTGAGAGTCCGCCTGCTGATGCAGGGGACGTGGGTTCGTGCCCCAGTCTGGGAGGATCCCACATGCTGTGAAGCGGCTGCCTGTGCTCTGCAACGGGAGAGGCCACAGCAGTGAGAGGCCCGTGTACTGCAAAAACAAATAAATAAATTAATTAAAATTAAAAATATAAACGAAAAATTAAGACATTCCTAGATAAACAAAAGCTGAGGAAACTGATTACCACTAGGTTGCCCTACCAGAAATGCTAAAGGGAGTCCTTCAGGTTAAAATGAAAGGATGTTATTCAGTAACTTGAAGTTGTATGAAGAAACAAAGGTCTCTGATAAAGTGTTTAAAAGAAAAAATGCATAAAGAATAATTACAGAGCTATGTTATTGGGCACTGTTATGGGTGGTATTATGTCCCCCACCACCACCACCAATTAATAGTTGAAGTCCTAACCCTCAGTACCTCAGAATGTGATCTTATTTGGACATAAGGTCATTGCAGATATAATTAGTTAAGATGAGGTCATACTGGAATGGGTGGACCCCTAATCCAATATGACTGCTGTCCTTATAAAAAGGGGAAATTTGAGACAGGCATACAGGGAGAATGCTATATGAAGATGAAGGCAGAGATCAGGGTGATGTTTCTACGAGCCAAGGAACAACAAAGATTTTCAAGAGACCACCTGAAGCTAAGTAAGAGGCATGGAACAGATTCTCTCTCACAGCCTCAAAAGATAGCAACTTGCTGACATGTTGATCTAAGACTTCTAGCCTCCATACCTGTGAGACAATAAATTTCTCTTATTTAAGTGATCCAATTTGTGATAATTTTTTAGAGTAGCATTAGGAAACTATTATAGGCACATAATACATAAAGATGTAATTTGTGACATCAATAACATAAAGTGGCAGGGGAAGACAGAGCTATATAGGAGTAGAGTTTTTGTACGCAGTTGAAATTAAGCTGGTGTCAGTTCAAATTAGGTTGTTATAAATTTAGGATGTTAAATGTGATCATGATTATAGCCACAAAAATATAGCTAGAGAATATATACAAAAGGAAATGAGAAGGGAATCAAAATGTGTGACTACAAAAAAAATCAACAAAACACAGAAGAAAGCAATAATGGAGTAAATGAGGAACGAAAAAGCTAACAGACATACAAAAACCAAATAGCAAAATGATGGAAATAAGTCCTTCATTATCAGTAACTGCTTTAGATGTAAATGGATTAAACTCTTCAATCAAAAGGCAAAGACTGGCAGAACTGATTTAAAAACACAATCCAACTATATAATGTCTAAAACAGATTCACTTTATATCCAAAAACACAAAAGGGCTGAAAGTGGAAGGGTGGAAGAAGATATCCCATGCAAACAATAATCCAAAGAGTGCCAGGGCGGCTATACTAGTTAGACAAAATAGACATTAAGTCAAAGACTGTTACAAGAGACAAATAAGGACTATCTAAGATATTATATATCTATAAAAGGATCAATTCATCAG